ATTTATGTTCCACACAACCAAATCCTGCTAAAATATATCGCAAAACATATTCACAACAACGGGCACCATTAAGTATCTTACAATAGGCAACATATGTACATTCAACCAGGGAAATATATTAATATCACGAAGGTATCAATTACACACAGCCTCTGGAACAAGGCAATGTCGTAAAGACATTACGGATGAGGCAATATATGTACACAACCTTTGCCAATTTTTTTTTTGAGGGGGACCTTTACCAAATTTCAGCTCTCTAGTTCCTCCTGGTCGCCAACCTACGGAGAGGCCCAGCCCATCAACACATCCGCAAGCTTTCTAGGTATCTGCGTCCTTTTATTTTATTCAACAAAATTACTAAATTTCAAATCATCAAAATTTAGTAACAAATCCGAACGATCGCCTAGCGTTGGACTGAGATCAAATGGCCATGAGATAATTAATGCATCGCCTTAATTATCTCGTACCCCCCTTAACCGTGCCTCCTAATTTTATGTATGCGCATTAAACCATGATTTCGGCTAGAATATTTAGGAAAGTCATGATTTCGGCGCAAAAAGTATACATGGTTCGGGATTCAAACTCTGGTTGTTTCATTTAGGGTTTAGCTAGCCAACCAATCAACACACCGTACGTTTGTTTCCTATGTTGAAGACATCTCATACTTAATATGTTGGTTTGAACTATATGAATTTGCCAAACAGACAAACAACAAACCCGATCAGAACTTTTAGGGAAAAAGATTGACCTCTCAACGCTCCAACACGTATGAGAAAGTTGAGTGAATCAGGATTTCCAATCTTTCGCCCTCTTCTGCGCCAGAATCATGGAAGAGAGGATGCGATGTGTTGTCTCGCTCAATGGTCGCATTATGATAACTTGTGTGTGAATGGCATAATAATCATCTCATCGCAGACCTCATAACTTAGTTACAAACATCATGGTAACTTTTGACCAAGGGAAAAAGTTGTTGAAATAAACCCCGGTAACTTGTTTATCAATAGCATGATAACTTATGCACCGCAGACATGATAAGCTATGTACAAATACCACTGTAACTTTTTGACGAGTAGAAGAAAGTTGTTAAAAAAGCCCCCGGTAACTTCTATGTAAATAGAATGGTAATTTAGGTATCATAGATGTGAATCGCGTGATAACTTGCATCCAAATACTATGGTAACTTTTTGACCTGGGAAAAAAGTTGTTTTTAAACATACCTCCGATAACTTATGTTTAAATATCATGGTAACATACACACACCAAAGGTAATAACTTTACATACACACTGCGGTAACTTTTTGCTCCGGGATAAAAGTTATTGAAAAGCCTATCTTGTAACTTCTGTGCAAATAGCATGCTAATATACGCATCTCAGAGATGATAACTTACTCCCTTCATCCATGAATAAGTATACATTTGGCTTTAAATTTGTCCACAAAAGAGTGTATCTCTATCTTCTTAATGCATTTTAAAGTAGAAAAAAATATTTCTCTCTCATCACATGATAATTAAGACCAATAATATTCAACACATGGTCTCCTAACTTCCTGCATGCATTTAGATCGTTATGGATGGAGAAATTAGAGAGGAGAGAGATGGTGGCTTGCACCTTTTCAATGCATTTTTACTTCACTCTATAATATGTCCTAAAAAATTTATATGTACACTTATTCGTGGACGGAGGAAGTATGTACAAACACCACGGTGGCCAGTGGAATTTTTTAGTTAAAGACACCCTCCTGATAACTTCTGTGTAAATAACACGGTAATTTTACCCACCTCAGATCTGATATCTAATGTACAAACAATATGGTAATTTTTAACACACGAAAAGTTGCTGAAAACATAGCACCGATAACTTCTGTATTAATGACATGATAATATACGCACCACAAACCTGATAAATTGCGTACAAACATCATGATAATTTTGACCATAAAAATTTTATTGTTGAAAACATACCCCTACCGTCCGAATTTATTGGACCACAAGGCAAAAAATATAGCATGGGCGACCAAATAGGTCAGAACATCCACGAAATTATTTCACTCGCCAACAAGACACTCATTAATAACAAAAATGATGCATAGTGATGGTCGTCGAATGAAGTGACGGGTATGTCTCCGCCTTAGTAATATGGTGAGGGAGTGAAAAATAATCCCGCTAATTTTTGTGAATAGTATGGAAATATACACATACATAGCTGATAACTCACGTACAAACGCCCGAGGTAACCTTTTGGACCCCGAGATAAAACTTGTTGAAAACATATCCCGGGAACTTCCGTGTATATAACATGGTAATATACACACAACAAAGTTGATAACTCACGAATGAACATTGTGATAAGTATTACTAAGGGATATAAAAAACACATAACCCCGATATTTTTTGTGTAAAAAACATGGTAATATTCGACCGCATTCATGATTAGCTACATACAAACACTTTGGTAACTTTGATCAGGGAAAGAGAAGTAAAAAAAAACCACCCTCATTAACTTCTGCACAAATAGCATATGATACATTACACATAATAGACCTGATCATAGGTGGCCGGCGGGCTGGCCTGGGCACTACATAGCCCGACACACGCCTAAATGGGTATTGACTCGTGAAGTTTCGTTTTATAAACGGGCCATGTCGTGTCGGTATGTAGACCTCACCACATGGTCCAGAGACGACCGATGGTTGACAATGGTATTGCAGATCTGATAATTTACTATAAATACCATGGTAAATATTGACCTAGACAAAAAAGAGTAGTTGAAACACACCCTGGTAACTTCAGCGTAAACACCACGATAATTTATGTATCGTAGGTGTGATGATTTTTGACATGAATAAAATATCATCAAAGCACACTAACATGAGATCTAGTTTTGAAGATCTCATCAACACAATTTTTTTACGTGAAAACGGAATTTGAATTTGAGCGATGGCTTGAGATACAAAACATTTTAAATTTTGAAATAGAAAAAAGAATTGCTGACATCATATGTTTTCTCTCTTAGTTTGCAAACCCAAACCCAGGCTGCATGCGCTTTCATCGCCGTAGACACGATTAGCCAGCAAGCAGGAAGAGAAGAATTAGATGAGTGATTAGCTAGGAAGATAAAAAAACGGACTAGCTAGTTGAAAGTTAAGTGGTGTTTGGTTCTTTAGTCCTAATACTTTTTCTAGTCCCAACTAAAAAGTTCCTAGTCCCTAAAAAATCACTCCCTGTTTGTTTCCAGAGAATAAAAAGTTTCTAGTCCCTTCTTAGAGGTTATTAAATGATCATGTTGCCTCTAGTATGTACAAAAATAACAATCAAACAACACCACGGAATGGCGGGCCAATGGATGTATGGAGGAGCATTGTTGGAAAAGTCTCAAAAAGTCCCAAAAAGACTCTCCTTGAGAGTCTTCTTCATTTAGTCCTAAATGCCTAATTTAGTCCTTAAAAAGTCCCTTCCGTTTGATAAAAAAGTCTTTAAAAGAGACTTTTTTAGTCCCTACATAAAAAAGTCCCTGAAAACAAACACCCCCTTAATCCGGTCAAAAGAAAACAAAAAACATGTCGGCATCTTTCTTTCTCTCTCTTAGAAGGGTAGTGGTTATCCTGTCCTAGAGATTCTTTTTTTCATCGGTATCCGTAACCCAACTCTGACTTCCTAACTAGAGGTCAGTATCCAGTAGCAAACAGAGAGAATCAGCAGAGCTAGATGGCAGATCTCTGAATCTGGTAGTTGAAGCCGTGGAAGAAGTAGAGGCTCCGGTTCAGCGGTACTTGAAGTCGATTAAAGCGGCGGAGCTCCGCTCCCCGCCTTAGCCTCCGGCAAGTTGATTCGACGGCGGAGACCATGGATTCTGCAGAAGCAATAACTGCCCCGGTCGAGGACTACTCCTACTTGAAGGAAACAGCTCAAGATTGCAAGGCTAGTTTCTCCTCCGAGATCACAGATGCGCGTGACATTCCTGGCTGCAGCCGCGAGCAAGTTGACAAGAGCGTGGATTTTGCAGAAGACGTACCAACTATGGTTGAGAAGGAGTACTTGATGAAAGCGGCTCAGGAGCTCAAGGTTGATTTCGACAAGAGAAAAGAGAAGATGCATAGGTTCCCTGCAAGCCTGCAGGGTCTGGGCAGCCAGTACATGGTGCCAAGGGTCGTGGCCATCGGCCCTTACCACCACGGCTCACCCCACCTCCGGCAGATGGAGAAGGTGAAGCACGCGGCCGCCTACCACTTCGTCAGCGGGTCAAGCCACTCGCTTGAGGAGATCTACGGCGCTGTCGTCAAGGTTGCGCACAAGGCCCGCCGACTCTATGCCGATGACGCGGTGGCAGGTATCAGCCATGCTGACTTCGAGGCTATCATGTTCTATGATGCTTGTTTCTTGCTCGAGTTCATGCTTATTTTCAACAAGAAGCAGCCCCCATGTCCAGAGTTGCTCGGTGTTTTTCGATCCAACAAGCTGCATATCAACAATGATGTAATGATGTTGGAGAACCAGCTCCCCTGGCTGGTTGTGGAAACCCTCCTCAACTTCAGGTCCGTGCCACTGAAGAAGAAAATTTCTAGGATGGGAGAAGGTCTCACAAACCATATGCATCCAACCGAAGCAGAACAAGTCCTTTCGGACTTGGACGAAGAGTACAGCCCGCCTCATCTCCTTGTCTCCTCCGATTCTACAAGACAAGATGCAAGACTGCCAGCAACAAGCCCAACATATCCACCAATATAGTCAGCATTAATAAATTGGACCGTTCGAAAGCCCGAACAGCTGCCGAGCCTGACCTCTCTCATCTAGAAAGACATATACCAAACAAGTCCAGGAAAAGACTCGGCTCAACTTCAATATCTTCAAGTGCCATCGAGCTTGCGGAAATCGGCATCAAGCTCAAAGCCATCCAGACAGGAAGTTTCACAGAAATTGGCCTAAGGAAAGGACCCCTCTTTGCCGAGCTTTTCCTGACACCACTGGTGCTAAGCAGTGTAACGGCATGCTGGCTCGTAAACATGGCGGCTTTCGAAGTATGCACAACCTCAGGGGATCAACATGATGACCAAGAGATGGCCATATGCTCGTACATCGCCCTCCTTTCGATGCTTATGGACCGGGAGGAGGATGTGCACGAGCTACGAGTGAAGCATCTTGTGCAAGGAGAACTCACAAACAAGGAGATGCTCCGGTTCTTCAAGAGCCTTACCAAGCACCTATCCGTCGGCCGGTCCTACCGCCGTATCTTGAGACACATCGAGAGTTACAAGGTCAATAGGTGGATGTGGATTAAGCTGCACAGATTCATCTACAACAACTTCAAAACAATGGTCATGGTCTTCTCTGTGGTTGGTGTTCTAGCCGGCATCTTCAAGACGCTCCTCTCTCTCAAGCAACACCAGTAAAGGTAGACCAGACCATGGTACCATACTTACATACAAATAAAATACGTACTCTGCTTTGCTCTCTGCTTAATTACGTTGGCGTGTTGTTAGTTTTCTGTTTTGAGAGCGATGCATGGTGTGCGGTTGTATATACTGCATTTCTGTTGGTATACTTGATTTACTGTATCTGAAAGTCTGAATTGCATCTTCGCCTCATTTGCTCCGTCATCTAGATTTTTTTTTTTTGCGAGAATGGTCATCTAGAATTTTCCTAGCTAAAAACTACCGGGACAAGCGAGTTTGATGTATCCCATTTGATATCTTCGTATCCGAGAATCAAAAAATTCTACCGGGCATTTTTGGCAAAATCTTCCGGGTTGCCTGTTAGCAAGGTCTCGTCATTGTAGTTGTTGGTGGCGTATTTTCATTCACAGCTCCAAAAAGTGGTCAGGCACCTATTGGATGTCTC